TTGCGTTAATGCATAAATTGGGAAATAGGAGAAAGAATACATTAATAATAATAAAAACAACAATAAACGAATATTGAAATCAGCTTTTTATTTTTTATTTGTATATTTTTTTTTTTATTGGTAAGCAGGCCCATCTAACAGTATGCCTTCCCGTGCATAAGAAGAACACTAGAAAGCAACAGTGTGTGCTGGACATTTACTTTAATACAACAGGAAATTACATGAGATGATTTTGCTTATAAATACAGCTGTAAAAAGATTTACAGCATGCCTTCAGAAATAATGTGAGAAATACTTCTTTATATTTACTGCTCATATGAAAATAAATGAAAATATTCGAGGCCGAATTTACTGATTCCAAAATCAAACAAATGGCTCCTAAAACTGACAGTGTATTAATGTAATCTCCATCAAAAGAGAATCGAGGTTCCAATGACATACCAATAAAAATGATACTCATAGGCGCGAAACATGATATAAAAAGAGCGGCAATCATTGTAACCATCTTGGCAACACGAATATTCTTTAAAGAAACATTATCAGCATGTGCAGCTGTCGACGATGCCATCCTCCATCGACTGTTGGCTCTCAGTTTGTACACTAATGTTATCGTACAGACCATGATAACCATGAAGGAAGTAAAGGGAAGGAACATGTTATTTATTGGGAACGTTATCCTCTCAATCATCTCCCGGTTATCAGTTACTACATTTCCTAGCACCGTCTTGTTTTTCTTGGGAAAGAATTTCATGCCTATATGATTCACCATGTACGTGGGAACTAGTGTACTTAATAAAACTACGAAGATGACAACGATGACCACGGCCATTCTTTTCGGTGTGACTATGTGTTTAACCTGAAAGAAACAAAGCAAATAGTGTAAAAAATGGACACACTAGCATATAAACATTTTTTTTAAACGCATGGTTAATTATTAATAAGTTTAAGTTTAAGTCACCTCTGATCACTGGCATTATGAGAGCTAATAGACCTAAATGGTTGGGACATATTGAAAGAATTTCAGATGGCAGAGAAGTAAAAACTGAATACACCAGGAAGATGGATGGTCGTAGACCACCAGGCAGACAAAGAAGACGATGGAGAGATAATATCCAGACAGACCTGCAAACACTTGCTGACATCAACTGGAAAGAGAGGGCCAGTCAGAGAAATGAAGAGAGGCAGCTGGTATCTGCAGCAATGAACCTCAAGGGCTCGGAATGCTGAAAAAGATGAAGAATGTATGTATGTATGTATGTATGTATGTTTGTATGTATGTTTGTATGTATGTGTGTATGTATGTATGTATTATGTCTGTCTGTCGGTCTGTCTGTCTGTCTGTCTGTCTGTATGCGTGTATGCGTGTGTGCATGTATGCATGTATGCATGTATGCATGTATGCATGTATGTATGTATGTATGTATGTATGTATGTATGTATGTATGTATGTATGTATGTATGTATGTATGTATGTATGTATGTATGTATTTATGTATGTATGTATGTATGTATGTATGTATGTATGTATGTATGTATGTATGTATGTATGTATGTATGTATGTATGTATGTATGTATGTATGTATGTATGTATGTATGTATGTATGTATGTATGTATGTGTGTATGTATGTATGTATGTATGCATGCATGCATGCATGCATGCATGCATGTATGTATGTATGTATGCATGCATGCATGCATGCATGCGTGCATGCATGCATGTATGTATCTATGTATGTATGTATGCATGTATGTATGTATGTATGTATGTATGTATGTATGTATGTATGTATGTATGTATGTATGTATGTATGTATGAATGTATGTATGTATGTATGTTTGTATGCATGTATGTATGTATGTATGTATGTATGTATGTATGTATGTATGTATGTATGTATGTATGTATGTATGTATGTATGTATGTATGTATGTATGTATGTATGTATGTATGTATGTATGTATGTATGTATGTATGTATGTATGTATGTATGTATGTATGTATGTATGTATGTATGTATGTATGTATGTATGTATGTATGTATGTATGTATGTATGTATGTATGTATGTATGTATGTATGTATGTATGTATGTATGTATGTATGTATGTATGTATGTATGTATGTATGTATGTATGTATGTATGTATGTATGTATGTATGTATGTATGTATGTATGTATGTATGTATGTATGTATGTATGTATGTATGTATGTATGTATGTATGTATGTATGTATGTATGTATGTATGTATGTGTGTATGTATGTATGTATGTACGCATGTATGTACGTATGTATGTATGTACGTATGCATGCACGTATGCATGTGTTTATGTGCGTGTATGCATGTACCTATTTATGTATGTATGAATGCATGTGCGTATGTATCTTTGCTAGAATGTATGTATGTGCGTATGAATCTATGCATATATTTATGTATGTGCGCATGAATGTATGTATATATGTATATGTATTTATAATCATATATGCATATAGGTGTTTATTACGTGTGTATTACGTTTGTATTACATGTGTATGTATGCATGTATGTATGTATGTATGTATTTATGTGTGAATATGTGTGCTTGTAATTGTTATTATACACCTGATCGGTTATTTCACAATACGTTCAGCACAACCCTCACTTTATTTAAACCAAGACACTCGTACAAACCTTCAAAGGTAAAGCTACACAAAGACATCTCTCTAGGGTAATAATGGCTGTAATCCAGGCTGTAACTCGACAAAAGGCCATGTGAACCCAAGCAGAGGTCACATATTGTATTTCAAATGGATCAAAAGGCAAGTCTGCGTCTATCAAAGCTGGGGTGTAACATAAGTTTGTCCACAACAGTGATACCAGCGAACCAAGATCAGAAACTGCCAGTCCTGTAATAAAACAGTCAAAATTATTTAAATCGTTTAGTACGGAGCATCTCACCATGCGTTTGTTGTCTGTCTCATATGATGTAATGTTTACTGTTTTTATAGTGTTAGTTCTAATTGCAACATAATCTCAACACTACTCTTTACCTTGGTTCCTTCTGTCTTATAATGTTAGTATTAGGACTACTACAGAACATTCATGACAAGAAAATGAAAGGGTGTTGGGTGGGGGGGGGGGGGGGGGTGGGCGAGGAGAAGTGGCGCCTGCTTAGATTAAATGTAGATTGAGTCACATCTGCCTGATTCTGAGGAAACTGAACTACATCATAAAGGAAAGATCCCTTTTCACGCCTTTAGGTGCATCTGGCATATGGGAACCGTCCCCATATTTGCACAGACCAATCAAAGATAATGTGGTGGGTAATGTGATCAGCATTACGCCAATCGTCTTTACTTTCCCAGGACTTACATCCTTGTACCAATTTAAGGCTAAGTCAACCTGTGACGCCCCATACAATGATAAAAATCTACGCAGCCACCTGAACGACATCTTTTGCACATTATTTCGTTTTTCTTCTTCTTCGCGTTTGCTAACTGTAAACTCCAACGTAAAGTTGTGGTTGTTTGTCCACATCTTAACTTTGGTCTTGTCCCAGAACTTGAGTTTTGCGTGCATATCCGTTTCAGTGATGGTGCTTATATGGATGCAGGCTGTTGGTTTCACGCCTCTTAGGCAGATGCACTGCGACATTGATGGAAATATCCTTTGTTAGTCGAAATCTTGCTTGTAAATACGGCAATAGGTTCATACTTTTTCGCTTTGAAAATGAGACAATAGAACTCACACGGGAAGTGAATTAATTATTATATGTAAATTTTGTGTGGTTCACCTTGAAGTATTGTAAATAAAGTTTACGTAGCGGCTAGATACTCGCATGTTGTCTCGAGACTGTTTGGTTCGAATCTGCATTGAAAAGGTTGTTTTCCACAATTTGTTTCAATTACTTTATCCTCGACTTATGATCCGTGCGACTTACAATAATTCGGATTTACAACACACACACACACACACACACACACACACAAAATTACAATAGTCAATAAAGAAAGATAACTACATTAGCAGTATAAAAATATACAATATAAATATAACATAAATTCTACTTAGTACCAATTCGACTTACGACGTTTGAGCCTGAACGGAACTCGAAGGTAATTCGAGCAGACCCCAGACACTATTTAGATATCCTTTAAATCTACTTACTAATAGAACCAGGAAACTATTTAGAAAATCTTTAAAATGTACTTACTAATAGACGCCAGACACTATTTAGATAATCCTTAAAATGTACTTCCTAATAGACCCTCGACACTATTTATATAATCCTTATCTTTGAACAACAGATCATCATCATGGCACACAGGTAGTAAACCCATACGTGATCCGTTCTTTTTTTAACTCAAGACTGAGTCCGAAGACGCTCAGCACAGTCCACCAACTCTCTAGCACCGTCGAGGATCCTAAAATACTTTAGGTAGATTTTTAACTCCAACCAGTGTTGCTCGGACAGCGTTGTTTAATTACTCTTTTCGATTTCCTGCTGCCAAGGGATTTGTTAACGTGCGCAACAATAAACATGGGCGTCTGATCACTACCCGAGATCAGGGGTAATTACTTGAAGTCCAAGTCCCCTTGAAAAAATACCAACTCCTACCGGGGATTGAACCAAGAGCCTCTAGCACTCGAGGCGGGGACCATACTTCGAGACCACCAGATATTCCTTAAAATGTACTTACTAATAGAGCCTGGACACTATTTAGATAATACTTAAATGTACTTACTGATATCCCCCAAACACTATTTAGATAATCCTTAAAAATCAAATCCTTAGCAATTGACCTCAGACACTTTTTATATATTTCTTAAAATGTAGTTACTTAACAGACCCCAGACACGATTTAGATAATCCTTAAATGTACTTACTAATAGAGCAAAGACACTATTTAGATATTCATGAAAATGTGCTTATTAATAGACCCAAGATACTTTTTAGATGATCCTTAAAATGTACTTACTAATACTGCATAACAAAACACACACAAAAATGCATAAAACACATACCTAACAAACTGACATTAACGGGGTCTTTGAAACCTTGCTTAATAAAACATATGATGTTGATAATATTGCCACAGATACCAAACACAGTAATGGCTTGACATACAATGACAAAGAGAACCCAAAAGAGAATTTGTGTTATTTCATCACTAAGCAAGACATGAACTTGTGTGTCTTTCGTGATACTGTATGAAGTCACTATTGTTGGAGCCGACACACGGTCAGTCATCTTAACAACTGGAATATGTTTTTATAAACTCAAAAAAAGCTTCGTGCAATGCACAGTCAAGAGCAAGTTCGTAAAAAACATGCACCTACACAGAGGACTCAGAAACGGCTGTTTTGTTTTGCGACACACAAAGATAAACACAATGTTAATGTACTTTAAAGACATTCACAAAAAAAAAGTCGTGTTGTCTCTTTCGCTGCAACACAACGGTACCGCAGCTGTCTGCTTTGTGCTAAGCAATGTGAATCCTGACCCTCTCTACTGTAACAGTATTCATAAATACACTTCAAACTTTGGGCTAATAAATAAAAAAAAAAAAAATAGCTGCCTGAAATCGGTGGGTTGTTACAGGACAGTCCAGTGTGAATCCCGTCATTAACCCTTAACTATAGAAGTAAGAACTTCAAACTGTCATCTGTGCTATCTAATTCAGTGTCAAGAGTAATTGTTACTTTGAGTAGCTACAATATTTGAGATTGATTTGCATGTTTTCCATTGCTGGAACAGAGTATGTTGTAAATGTTAAAGCTGAAATACTACTTTAAAAATGCGTATGTAATAGTAAAATTACAGTTTTTGAATGATGTAGCGAAGCGAAATCATCAACTCAGCTGCACAGTTTACATAACTACTCGAAAAAACATCTTAGATATACATAATTATACAAAACCACCATGTGCATCAAATGTAATTTGTTGTAATGCCAAATGCACTTTCCTGTTGGCTCTAAATTTAGGAAACAAATCAGCAATGTACACTTGTATGAATGTGTATCTTAATACTTATCATATCTCATGTCCATATTGACGACTCCCAGTACCATCATTATGTATCGTCAGTTCACTTTTTCTAATATAAGACCTTCAAAAACACTCGATATAGTTTCAACTCTTTCAGTAACAGCAAGGAGGAGCGGATGGCTGAAGGGTTAGGAATGCTAAACTCTCACGCGGAAGACCAAGGTTTAAATCGTTAGAAAGGTTAGGCATTTTTTCTTCTTCGCACAACAGACTCACATAGTCCTAACCTGCACTGTCCGTGTCGACCGCGCTATCCATGTGGCCCTGACTCGTCAGGTTCGAAAACCTGTTTCCCCTGGCTATGTAGCAAAAGTGGTGAAATATGTGTTGTGTGTGTGTGTGTGTGTGCGTGTGTGCGTGCGTATTGTGCGATTGTGAAAGTAGCCTAAGTGTAGCTACTAGACCCTCGCCTATTGGTCGGAATGTCGTGCGTTCAGATTCTGACTGAACCGGGCTTTTTAAAAATGATCTTGGCTCCCATTCTTGAGTGGTTAACAGATGCAGTCCTGGAAAGTAAAAGCCACCGGCGTGATGTTGATTGTAGATTGTTGGCCTGCTATAATTTTGGTTTGGCTGCACTTGTGAAATGAATCTGCCAGGCGGCAATAAAAGACAGACGCACCACAAAAACAGTCTGTGTTGCCCTTTGCTTTTCTCATTCTGCCCACCCATCGGCGTCCGCAAATGGTTTCAGCGCTACTGAACGGAGATAGATGGATTGGCGCATCGATTTCACATTGTCGGTACGTTTCAATAGTTAGACGGTATTAGATCTAAATTTACCTAAGTAGTTAAACTGTCGTATATCTAGATATCAATGTGTACTATCGCTCGGAGATATTTGATTTCAGGTCGCTGAAATCTGACATGCTTAGCACAAAGTCTGTCTGAATACGATGTTAATTGTTAGTGTATTGTTTTCTGTAAAACATGTTAGTTGAATCTGACAGTTATATTCAGTAACTTGTCGTTTGTTTACGTGGTCTGCTAGGCGTTTCCTATGGAGTCATAACTTATTGTTGTTTTGTAACCCTGCTATTCACATATTCACCACCTGGGTTACATGAGCAACATTCATAGTCTCTGCACAGAAGAAACCCTGTTTTTTCTTTTTTCCTCCTGTTTTTACAGTTCAACGGGGAACTACTTATTGACCTAGCCGTATTTCTTATTTAACCTATCTAATTGTGTGTGTGTGTGTGTTTTTTTTTTTTTTTTTTTGTTTCTTTCCGCTAGCTCATTTTACTAATAAATATTTTGGTTTGTGGAAATAAAATAGTAGCGCTTCGGGAGAAATGGTTTCAAAGTTACAGTTGTGTCAGAGTGTGTTAGCGTCACAAACGGATCGGTCAAACAGAGTTACAAGAGTATGGTGCCAGTTTTAGCCAACTACCTATAGTGAGATGCTTGGCAATAAATTAAACTCCATGTGTGGGTTCCATGGGAAAAGAGGGAGGTGGTTGAAAAAAGACCTACTGACTCATAAAAAGCATGTCGTAAAAGGAGACTAATATTGTATTTCCCTTTGAAATCAGAGTACGTCTGCCTAAAGGGCGAGGAACCAAATGTCTGCATACTAATTAACTGACATCTGTAAAAGGGATGTTCACACAAAACTAAAGTTAAGGAAAAGTCCAGATGTAGAGAAAGAATCAGAACTTTCCACCGTATTGTACAGCCGGTGAACGCTAAGAATAATAATCGTAATAAGAAAGCGAAGAATAAGTTAAACCGGCCTCCAATTATATTTTACTATAGCTGAATTCCGCTTTGATGGGGAATCCTGGATACAATTAGTTTAGTATAAATAAATTATGTCTGTCCCAAGCAAACACCAGCCGTATACCTAGGTGTTACTCAAGTATAACTAGTCAACGTTAATGTGTGTCTTTATATCTTCTATTTAATCGGAAACTTCATAGAATATAATCACGTAAGATTTTGCTGTTAGTGTATGCTTTTAGCCTCTCTGGAAGTAAAATACCTATGTGTTTAGATCTATAATTAGCCTATTCCGTTACCGGAAACATTCTGAGATAGTGTATGAAGCTCACAGATTAGAAGATGTAAACATTAAACAGAAATGCAGGTGAATGTTGTTAGCATCCAAAAACGCTGTTCATCTACTCACTGTATAGGTTCTTTAAAAGGACAGTGTAATGTGTCAAGGGTTTGTCTCATTGACACATTTGGCTGGCAGATGCATTAGTTCCGGCTTACAGATGACTACTTTCGTTGTGTATTTAGACTAGTGTAAATGGACAAGTGTGTTTACAGATAACCTTGAAAAAAAATGACACAAATGGTAACAATCTATAATCAACCTAAATTTTTAGAAAGAGAGCTGTAAGGAAAACAAGACCACATTTATAAAAGTTTGAAAGTAGTCAAATGTGTTCCCCCTTTTCCTTTTTTTTTTTTTTTTTTTTTTTTTGGGTCGTCCCACTGATCCCAGTGTAAAAGACCAGTTTTATTACGGGATGAATTGGTGCGATGATAGTGAATCGTTACGGGTGTACGAAGTGACCATCGGACAGACTAAGAGCTGGAAGGGACAGTTTGATCACGGGAAAAAAAAATGTGTTGTGAGAGTTGTACTGAGCCCTGCGACCCGCGAGTATCACGAGGTGCAGCGTGTCAGACGTGAACGCTGAACAGGAACAAAAGTCTCGAACAGAGGGTGTTCGGGAAGACTTGCAGGCGCTTGGACGGGACGTTTGTCGGACACCGACGGTTAACGTATCTTATATTAGTGACGATCAGCAAAGAAAGTCTTTGTGATTAGGCTTTAGTTATATTTCCATACGGTGTTTTGACAAAATTATACATATGTTGTGTTAATTGTGTAGTAGAAGTTTTCATGCGGAATCTGTTAGGTAGTTGGCGTTGACATGCAATGTTAGTGTCGTTAACACTACCCACTCATACTTGGGTCACGCACTCTGTGTGTACCACCAAATCTCGAGTGGCAGGGACGGCTGCTTATTTAGCGCTGTACGACGGTGATGTGGAATTAGGGCCCCGGGTATATCCATAGAATGGCACGGTGTCTTAGTGAATACAAAACTACCACAGACGGCGTTTCGGATTAGGGACAGTCCATATCTTTTGACGTTTGCTGCAGGTTGAATAGCTCTTTGTTCATTAAAGATTATGTGTGTACTCCGTAGGTGTGTGTCTTAAGTGTGTTTAAGGGTAGCTGAGACTGTTTTCCGGCATACCCGACAAGCCAGAGTAATTAAAAAAAAAGAAAGTAGGTCGCTGACAAATTATGGGTGCTCGTACCATATATTTTTTTTTTCAAATTATGTACTTGACTGAATAGTAAAATGATTTACGTATTTTAGGATTTTATTAAATCGTTTGACAGATAATGTGTGACAGATAAAGCAGACTGTGCTACCCAACATATGCAAACAGAGATCAGTGACACCTCCAACTGCAAAATTAGATCTTGCAATTGTTTCCACTACTAAATCAGAAGATGCTGTCACAGATAACCAAAGTTTGATACGCACAGCAACTTCACAGAGCATCATCATAATAATCCTCATCTGGTGCCTTGCCGACTGACGTGGTCGATCGTGCTTCTCCATAATCCACGATCTCCTGCAGCATGTATCAGTTGTTGTGCCGACACACCTCCATGCCATGCAACAACACATTTAACAATCTTCTCTCGTTCTATCCCACAGATCTTTTCTAGTGGTCACAGCATGTTCTATTTCCCTCTTCTCATAACATGGCCGAAAAATTATGACTGTCTCCTTCTGATGTCTGTGATAAGTTGTCTTCGGGCTCCAGCCTCTTTCAAAACCTCTTCGTTGCTCTTTTTGAGGCATGATTGACTAGGGATAATATAGCGGTGGTTTTCCCTTGCCTTCCGTCGGTTTGTATATGGTTTGACTCCATTAACCTATGTCTTAAGAGACTTACCCTGCAAGGCAGCAGGGAGTTAGAGGTTATGGTGCCTCTTACCCCCCGATGGCTATGTCGTAGAGTTTTGAGGGATTTTATATAGCTAGCTGTCCCACCAACTAACTTGGGAGCATATGGAAACAAATTAAAAACTCTATAAAAACTGTCAGGTTTGTTCCATTTCCGAGATTTATTTCAATTGTTGTCACCTATATTAAACATGAAAAAATATCTGACTACATTATTAGCAGTTTTAAAGAAAATAAAATAATCTGGTTTCCA